CACTTCTTCTTGTATGTAATTTTGTATAACCCTGAGGGTCTCCTTCCCTTTCCATGCAATTTCCCTTCTCTTTCCCTTTCCCTGCCACCTCTCATCCCTGTTTAATGTTAATCTTCTTCTCATGCTCTTCCTCCCTACTCAGTTCTTAGTTACTCTCCTTATATCAAAGAAGACATTTGGCATTTGTTTTTTAGGGATTGGCTAGCTTCACTTAGCATAATCTGCTCTAATGCCATCCATTTTCCTGCAAATTCTATGATTTTGTCATTTTTTAATGCAGAGTAGTACTCCATTGTGTATAAATGCCAATCAATTTGTAAGGTGAGTCTGTTGCTTTTCTGTGTTTTTGAGAGTTTGAGACTCTGGCACATTGTCTTTAAAAAAAAAAAAAAAATCTTTAGGATTTATTGCAGGTTTTTAAAAATAAAAGGAGAGACCATTCTTAGTGTTCAAATTTGTGAACCTATTGCCATGTATTCCAGAATGGTGAAGTGTGAAATGCCTAGAAGTTCATTTACCACCATTTTTAATTTTTATCCTCTTCCAGAATGCTTAAGCACCTTCTGAGCTGTTCTGTTCCTTAATGTAAACAGTCTCTGAGAGATGGCTTTTCCTGTTATATAGATGACTTTGCATGTTTTAAAGAAACCTGATTAATTGATCAAGTTCTTCACTAGTAGCTAAGACCTAATTTCCAGCAGGTGCTGTCTTAGTGAATTTTCTACCATTTTCTTTTTCCTTTTTTGGTACTGGGTATTGAACCCAGGAGTATTTTACCACTGAACTTCATCTCTAGCCTTTTTTTTTTTTTTTTTTTGAGACAGAGTCTTTTGTTGTTATTGTTTTAATTTTTCCACATTTTTTTATTGATGCATTATAAGTGTGCATAATGATGGGATTTGTTGTTGCATATTTGTGCATGTGCATAATATAACCATATAATTTGGCCAATATCACTCCCCAACACTCCCTGCTTCTCATCCCTGATGTCTTTCCTTTACTGATGTCCCTCTCATTATCATGAGATCCACCACCATCTTTCTTTTTTTCTTTATCCTCTCTAGTTTCTGCATATGAGAGAAAACATACAACCCTTGACCTTCTGAGTTTGATTTATTTTGCTCAACATAATGGTCTCTATTCCATCTATTCTCCTGCAAGTGACATGATTTCATTTTTCTTTATGGCTGAATAAAACTCCATTGTGTATATATACCATTCATTAGCTGATAGAGACCTAGGCTGGTTCCATAGTTTGACTGTTATGAAATGTGCTACTAAACCTGGGTATGCATGCATCACTGTAGAATGATGACCTTAATTCTTTAAGATAAATACCAAGGAGTGGTTTAACTGGGTCATATGGTAGTTCATGATTAATTTTTTGAGGAACCTCCATATTGATTTCAATCATGGTTGTATTAATTTGCAGTTCCTCCAACAGTAGAAAAGTGTTCCTTTTTTTCCACCTCCTCCCCAACACTTATTATTTGTATTCTTGATGACAGCCATTCTGACTGGTGTGAGAAAAAATCTCAGTGTAGTTTTGATTTGAATTTGTATAATTGCTAATGATGTTGAACATCTGTTCATGTATTACACGGTCCTTTGTATCCCCCCCCCCCCCCGTACTAGGAATTGAACCACTGAGCTACATCCCCAACCCTTTTTATATTTTATCCTGAGACAAAGTCTCGGTGAGTAGCTGAGACTGGCTTTGAACTGAGACAGGTTTCTGAGGCCTTCATACTTGCAATCTCCCACCTCAGCCTTCCAAGTTGCTGGGATTATAGGCAAGAGCCACTGTGCCCTATTTCTTCCATTTTCATAAATAAATTGCCATTGCACTTGCAATTTTGTATATTGGTTTGGGATTTAGAAACAATTTGACTTGAAAACCCTAGGTGTGAACTGAGGGGTTTTGGCTCCTACTATCCTGAGCCATTTTCTTTATCTGTAGTGATAATCTTTGTTCCTATGAGCATTTGTTGAAACCCTGACTATTGAGGCAATATTCTAAGGAAAGCAGGCATCATAGGTTCAACCTCTAGTTAGTTTCCTTCTGATCTTTTAGTTAGTTTCCCTCTCCAGTTTTTATTTTAACTATATTTATTTGAGATTGTCAGTTTGAAAAAGAGAAGAGGCAGTATCACTATAAAAATGAATTACTTTGCTTTCTTCTTCTTCTTCTTTTTTTTTTTTTTAATTTGTACCAGGGATTGAACCAGCACTTAACCACTGAGCAATATTCCCAGCCCTTTTTATATTTTATTTTGAGACAGGGTCTCACCAAGTTTCTTAGAGCCTCAGCAATTTAGGAAGACCCTGTCTCAAAAATAAAAAATAAAAGGCCCTGGGGATGTAGTTCAGTGGTGGTAAAATGCCCCTGGGTTCAATTCCCAGTACAAAAAACCACAAAACAAAAGTTTGCCAACCCTTGTCTAGCATCATCATATGTAGGATATAGTAGGTTCTTAATAAATGGAGAAAGGGAAGAAAATTCCTATAAAGTAGAAGGCCAAAAAGCATTACATACTGAGGAACACAGAATTCTACCATATTATCAAAAGGCATCCCATGAAGCTTGAGTATTTCAATTTTTTTTTATTAATTTGCTGACTTGTTGAATCTTATAATGGCTTAGTGATATTTGAGAGCTGTTCATTTAAACTTAGTTAAGAGAAAAACAAATTTGATTAACAGCTGATAAATCTGCTGAAAGAGTTGTAATTGATAGTGTAACCATCCCCCTGCCACCCACCTGGCGTTGTTATTGTTCATTTATCAAGCATTTCCTGGGTAATTCTCTTTCTCCTTCCATTTCTCTCCTTCCTTCCTCCACTGCCCATTCCCCACCCCCCGCCTTTTTTGTGTGTGTGTGGTACTTGGAGTTGAGCAGGCCCTTGCACATGCTAGGCAACCCCTCTACCACTGAGCTTCATCCAGAGCCCTTTTTATTTTGATACTTTGAGACAGGACCTCTTTAAGTTGCCCAGGCTAGCTTCAAACTTCCTATCCTCCTGTCTCAGCCTCCCAAATAATTATGTGGCTATTGTGTAGAATATTGAAGCAGTGGTAGGCACCCATACTAAGGAGTTTGAACTTTATTCAGTTGGTTGTACAAAATCACTGAGTAGATACAATCAGGGAATTTACATAAAATTTAGCGTTTTACATATAATTCTGATGACAGTTCAAGCAGGGAAATTAGAAGGATAATGCTATTATCTAGGCAAAATATGATAAGTGGTGAAGAAAGCAAATATTGTCTAAAAACAATTTTACAGGGAGTAAAATTGACAAGACAGGAATTGCTATATAGGAGAGAAGGTACCTGATTTCTTGCTTGATCACTCCCATTTATGATAGTTCCATTATCAAAGATTCAGGGGAAAGGGATAGGTTTAGAATGAGTTTACTTTTGGGGAACCTATTATAACATCCATTTGTTAAGTAGATGTATGTCTGGAGCTCATATTAAGTATGATTTAAGGCATTTATCCATATTTAGGAAGTGGTGCTTAAAGCATCAATAAAGAAAAATACGCATAAGCAGTTTCTGGAGGTTTACATATTCTTTGGACTCCAGGTTAAAAAAATTTCTTGGTATAAATAGTCAGATGAGAATTTAACACCAAGCCCCGGGGGAACATCAGCATTTAAGGGATAAACAAAGACAAACTCATGGACCGTACTGAGGAATGATTGGCCATCAAGGAAGGATGATGTTTCAAGGAAGCAGTGATGAACAATGTCAGACCAAGAGAGAAAGCTTTGAAAAGTATCTCCTTAGCTTTGGCAGTTAGGTTATTAAAGATTTCAGCCTAAGAAGTTTAGTGGTAAATTGAGGGTAAAAGCCATATTGGAATGGGTTGAGAAGTGAACAAAAAGTAAGGAAGTGAAAACATTGAATTTATATTGTTCTTTTGAGTAATTTGCAGAAGGAAAGAGAGAGAAAGCAACAGTAGAAAAGAAATGTTTGACAGTGATGAAAGAAGAGATTGAAAAATGGAACTAATTAGTCAAACGAGTTCCCTGGGGATGATGAGATTAAGAGCATCTTTGGAGATTAGAGAAGACTGCTGAATCAGGATAAAGACTGGATCTGCCTTCTCTTTCCTCAACGCATTTTCACAGTTAGCACAATACTTGAAACATTTGTGCCATAAATATTTATGAAGCTTGAATTGGAGAGAGTAGGAATGATGAAGGTAGTTTGCTTGATGGCAATAAAGGAAGGAGAGAAGGTCTTGAGGAAAATTGTGGTTTTCTAATAGTTGTTGTGGAGTATCAGAGGGAGAACTGGCCAAATAAAAAAGAATCAGAGACCCATTCACTTACAAACAGCATGATCTCTGTCCAGGAGTAATAAATTCTTTGGGATAGGTAATATACATTTTAAAAGCTCTGTGATGTTAGTTGTTTCAGTGGAATAAGCTGAAAGTGATATAAAAGTTGAAACTGGTAGAATTGAGCAAAGTACCAGCATGAACGAGTTAGGGTTTGAAAATGGATTGAGGAATGGAGGATCTTTATAAAAGAGCATGAACTGGAAGTTTGATGGGGAAAATATCCTTTATCTTCATCCATTTGCTTTCTGCCACTAATTGCAGCTCTTTGAGGAATCATCTTGTAAGTTTTGACATTTCTATTGCTTCTTCCATTACAGGATTTATGACCAGAGGAAAATTGATGAGAACGAGAACAATGGTGTACTCAAGAAATTCTGTCCTCATCACCTGGTAAGATTCATGAAGGGCCAGTGACTCCTGGCTTCCCTGACTTGATCCCAAGTCAGCCTTTGAATTTGTTGGTATAGTGGGAAAAGCAGAGCTTGCATTTTCAAGTCATGCACCTGGATTTGAATCTTGGCTTCCCAACTTACCAGCTTTGTGATCTTGGGCAGTCAGTTCACCTCTGTTAGCCTATTTTCTCATCAAGAAAGTAGAGAGAACAGTAACAGCCTTGGACCATCATGGTGAGGCCTAATGAAACCATGTATATGAAATAAATGGCTAGCAGAGAGAAGACAACAAGGCCCTAAGATTTTCGCCTTTGAGGTGGTCATGTTTCATTAGTTGTACTCCTATCTGTCTCTCTGTTTTTCTCTCATTCTCTGGGAGAAGATATAGGGGAGTTTGAAGGAAAACCTGTTCCTGAAGATGGTATGCCAAATGGGGGGGTGGGGCGTCAGTCAGTATCTGCTCCTTATTGCAGGTGAACAGTGAGTCCAAAGCAAACATCACCTGTCTTGTGTACAGCCACGACGGCACAGGTACGTGAGCAGGGCCCAGCTCCTAGGCTGGCATGCCTCCTCTGTCTAGAGAGCTGCTGAGCCAGTGAGGCACGTGCCCTCCAGTGCTCACCACTGTGCTATAGCTCCAAGTGGAGCATCTGGGGAGTAGTTGCTGATGGTGAGCACATAGTGGGAGGATGCAGCAGTGTCCCTTGGAGATGCCAGGCACCATTTGCAGAATGCTGCAGATGATATTTGGCAGGGCCTGTCCTGAAGCCCAGGCTACTTGGCCTGAGCAGGTTCTTATGCCTTTTCTTATCCTGTGTGAATGGATGTGATCTTCCTGAGATCTTCCTCTGCTACCCCTGGGTTGGCAGTGTGTTCCTAGTCTGCCCTTACAACTTCACTTGCCTGCTGTTCCAACTGAGTAAGATGGGTGTTACACCTGGGTATTAGGAGGGGGCACTACTGGCAAGAAGCCCCATCCCAACCCCCAACTCCTGATTCCTGCATTTTTCAGCCTTTGCCTTCACTGCTGTGTTCTTGTTCTTGGCAGAGCTCCTGGCCAGTTATAATGATGAAGACATTTACCTCTTCAACTCCTCTCACAGTGATGGGGCCCAGTATGTTAAGAGATATAAGGGCCACAGAAATAATGCCACAGGTGAGACTGTTTTTCTAGGTTTCTGTGGCCAAATCCTATTGGCTTGGAGAACCGTAGTATTTTATTCAGCTTGTACATATGAAGTTACCTAAGGGATAGGCTTCTGTGTTCCTTGGGCAGTGAGAGTTGATCCCATTGGGCTGGCATTTTCATGTTTTCTCCACTTTGCTTGAGAGCATCTTCACTGCAGTAATGTTGCTTCTAATTGGTTTGAACATAAGACTTTACTAATTTTTTTTCTTTTTTCTCTGTATTTTAGGTAAATTTTTAGGCAAATTCCAAATGGGTACAAGAGCTTATTAAGGAATCAGGGAAAACCTGCTTTAGTCAGTGATGCTGAATTACTTAAAATGGGTCATAAGCTTGTACCACTAGGGAGGGAAGAGGTTTGTTTGTTTTTTGTTTGTTTGTTTGTTTTTGAGTGAGGCGGAGGAGGAGTTGTGATAGTATCTAGTTTAAATTTGCAGTGAAGATTGACCTTTTTTTATTCAGTGTCTGTGGTTTCCATACTTTGGGGCAAATTAGAGTCACCTGATAGTCATATTTTATAAGTACCAATGCCTGGTGCCCACTCCCATATGTTCTGATTTCATTGGTGTAGGGTGCAACTTGAGTGCTGGTACTTTTGTAAAGTTCTCGTTCTAATGTACAGAAAAGTTGGGGAATCACTGACTTTTGTTGTTACCACTCCTAACAGTCCTGTCATAATTTGACTTGGAGGCAGGAGTTACATTTACTTTTTCTTTGAGCTGATGAGAAGGGAAGGAAAAATCTGTACTTGGATCTCAGCCCACGGGAAGAATAACAGCATCATGGCCAGTATGGATGGCTTTAGTAGTTGGGACTCCTGGCTGCTTTTGCTAATTTTAGAGAGTGGAGCCCTGTTATTCAGAGTCCTGGTAGAAAGCATAATTCAAATGAGTTAGGTGATTGTGGCATATACTTTCATCAGTCTCAGATCAGTCAGTGACCCAAGAAGCACTGACAAATTACCAATTAAATATATAGTAAAGATAATCCTAGAACATTGGTGAATGCTGCCTGGCAATAGGCAGAGTTAGTACATGTAGGTTCAGATGGGTAAGGTCATTAGTGAGACCTGATAGAGTATAAATGAGGCAGGCTATTGCTAAGCAACTGGAGACTCCTCTGTCCTGCAGAGCTCGTTGAGAGAATATAAGGAGTCTCTGGGACTGGTGTGATTCTTATAATTATCTGTTATACATGCATAATCTTTTGGTTTGATTTGTAAAGATGAAAGGAATTATTTGGCTTGCAGCTAATTTGGAGTTTGTGAATATTTAGTTATTTTTCCCTGTGAGAAATATATATAGGCCTGATGCCAATCCTCATGTGGTTTGTTCCCTCATTTATTTCAGTAAAAGGCGTCAATTTCTATGGCCCCAAGAGTGAATTTGTGGTGAGCGGTAGTGACTGCGGGCACATCTTCCTCTGGGAAAAATCATCCTGCCAGATCATTCAGTTCATGGAGGGGGACAAGGGAGGTGTGGTAAGTATGGTATGCTGAGCCGACTGGCTCCATAGTATTTCAGGTCAATAAGGTAGGTTTTAGTAGGGACCCTGAATGTTCACTGTGGCTACCTAATATCATGTCTTAGAGGTCCAGCCAACTAACTACATTTAATTAAAAGGCAGCATAGTCTGAGGATGCTGAGAGGTATTGTGTTGTGTTTTGTTTTTGTTTGGTTTTGGTTTCAGTTTTGTTTGTTTGATTGCTGGGTTCAGTCCCCAGCACTACTTTACAACTGAGTCGCCTCTCCACCCTATTTATTTATTTACTTACTTACTTATTTATTTTTGGTGCTGGGGTTTTAACCCAGAGGCACTTTACCACTGAGCCACATCCCCAGCCCTTGTTTTTGAGACAGGATCTCACTAAGTTGCTCAAACTGGCCTCAAACTTGAGATCCTCCCGTCTCAGCCTCTCAAGTCACTTGGATTATAGGCGTGTACCACCTTGCCCAACTTTGGTTTTTTTGTTTTTTTTTATAAAGAGGGAGGGAGGGAGAGAGAGAGAGAGAGAGAGAATTTTTAATATTTATTTTTTTAGTTATTGGCGGACACAACATCTTTGTTTGTATGTGGTGCTGAGGATGGAACCCGGGCCGCACGCATGCCAGGCAAGCACGCTACCACTTGAGCCACATCCCCAGCCCCCCAACTTTGTTTTTGAGACAAGGCCTTGCTAAGTTGTTGAGGCTTGCCAAAGACTTGCAATCCTACTGTCTCTCATTTCCCAAGTGGCTCCAATTTCAGGTGTGCACCAACATACTCAGCTTAAGCACACCTTTTCCAGAAGAGTGACCATTAGAGTTCAGGGCACATCATATACACTGTTAAAGATGCCTCCAGGTTTCATCCTCTATCCTAGATCAGATAAAAGTGCAAAGGAACATTTTTTGAGTAGTTGGGAAAATAAGTATATGGTTTATATATTAAGTAACATGGTATCCAACATTAGATTTATATCATCTGGTAATATTTATGTAGAAAAATATCTTTACACTTAGTCGACACATGTTGAAATATTTAAGGTTGAAATGTCACGCCTACTTTCAAATGGATGTGTGCATGTATAGGGAGAAAGCAAATGTGGCAAAATATGTTTTTTTTTTCTCAAAAAAAGAATGGATGAGCAGCCTGCTGTATAACCCTTGATTATGTCACAGTCTAGTCTGCCTGTCTTTGAGTTTTGCAGGCAACCTCTGTGGAGATAGGGCAAAAAGACAGTGAGGATCAAGTTAAGGAGTGGAGAGTGGTTACCTTTTAAGATATATCTAGTTAACCATGTCACTTTTTCTTTTTTAAGACCCAGAATTAGGAAAAAAGTTTAGAACTTCCTATTATAAGGTTTTTAGACCACAGAAGATAGGAAAGAGACAGTTTGAAAGGCTAGGTTGTACTAATTACCCAAGATAGTCTGGTTACCTGTGGCCTCTAAATAATGATTGAGACCGAACTGCTTGGACTTCCTTCCTTTTCATTCTTTCTAAGCTGTGGGAAACTTCAGAGAGCCTAGCCATGACTTTATGAGGTTTACCAGAGAATGGTTTTATAATTTAGAATGGTTCCTTGCAATCAGGAACCCATTCCGTCTTGTGTTTTTCTTACCTTGCTCTGAGAATATTTCAGATTTTCCTCTAAATTTTTGAGACCTGGGACCAATATAAAACAGGGCTTCTATAACCTGAATGCAATAAGAGAGAAGGTGTGTCCCTTTCTTCCCTGCTTCATTTCCTACTCTTCCATAGGTCCCCTTCTATCATCTGTAGTTAACAAATCCAAAACACTATAGAGTCTTTTTTTTTTCCTTTGGTATTGGGAATTGAAACCAATGGTGTTGTATTACTGAGCCACATCTGAGTTCTTTCATTCCTTTTAGTTTTTATTTCGAGACAGGATCTCTTTACATTGCTAAGGATCTTGCTTAGTTGCTAAGGTTGGCCTTGAACTTGTGATCCTCATGCCTCAGCTTCCCAAGTTGCTTGGATTATAAGCATATGCCACAGCACCTGGCACACTGGAGTCTTAATGAGAAATTACGCAATGGGCATGTAATCAGAAGGAAATCCAAAGGGACCTTTGAATCCTTCCCCCACCTCTACCCCTCTTTTTGGTACTAGGATTGAACCCAGGAGCACCTTACCACTGAGCTACATCCCCAGCCTTTTTTATTTTGTCTTGAGACAGAATCTAAGTTGCCATGGTTGATCTCAAACTTGAGCCAGTGAATCCTTTCTTGATAATCAACTATTGTCTTGCATTCTGTTCCAGAGAGATGAAGGGATGAATGCCCTTCTCCCAGACCAGCACTTATTTGTTCTCCAGAAGCACTCTGCAGGCCGGTTTGCTTTTAGTTTAGCCAGTACCAGGGTTGGATGATTAATCCAGGTACTCAGGAGGAGAGAGCATCTACTTGAAATGGCCTGAGTTCTAGTGGTTTTAAGAATGAGAGACTAGATAGAACAAGAAATAGAGACTGCCCACTGAAGTGAGCTTCCTTACTTGTCCTTGCCTCTGTATAAGCTGCATGATCTGTGGTCCTACCTTGGCTCTCTTTTTTTTTTTTTTTTTTTGTCTTAACCTTCCAGCAATGGAGGTTACCAGACTCCAGCCTCAGTGGAGATTGTGAAACAATTCTATATCACAAAGTAGAATCTTAGAACTGGAGCAATTTGAGAAGTCATCGTCCACCTTTCCTAGGTCTCCTAACTCTTATTTTGGGTTCCTTTCTTTGTTCCCATTCAACTTCACAGGGACAAGGGTGGGGAATTTCAAAGGACAACTCCTTACTCTCCCGAGAGCACTTTGATGCTTTATTCCATTTCCTACATGCCCCCAGCCCAGTCATCTAAGGCCAGAGCTCTTTTCTCTGCTCAAGAATTAATGAGAGGTAAGTTCTGGCATTCAGACAGGTCTGGTGAATTGACCAGGTCCCTGGTCCAGAAGTTCTCTATTGGCTTCCCTACAGGCTCCACCTCAGGTACTGTATGTAATTTATTCTCTTGTTCCTCTCTTGCCATTGGCTTTATCCTAGTCTTAAATATTAAGACTCCCCTGAGCTTTCCTTAGCTTTATAATTTTGCTGATTTGTTGAAGCCCAGCTATCTCAGAGTATATATAGGTCTATAGCAAAGGTTTATCAGGAGCTGGATGAATGAATTCAGGTTTGTATGTGTAAGTTGACACATACCTTTTGATAATATTTTCAGGCCATGGAGTTTATTTCTAGTGCCTCCTTATGCTCCATATCCGCTGCCTGAAAGAGCCAGATATTAACTGCAGTCACAATCTTAGGCTCAGATTTAGATTGTATTCTCTGAGCATTTGTTTATCTATAAAATGGAAGTCAATGAAGGTTGGGAATCTGCTATTCAGCTTTATTCTCTGTGCTTGCCCCTAGCTTCTCCTTAGTTGCTCTCTGACTGAAGGTAAGGCAGGGGAGATTGGTCCAGAGAGAACCATAAAAGGAGCTTTTTGCCAGGGGTTATTATTTTCTTAGACTGCAGGGCAACTGCAAGGCAGGGTGTCTTATCTATTTCTCATCTGACTAAAAGCCTGAAAATGCTTTAGCAAGCTAGATCTGTATCTAGCTCTTCCTGTGGGGATGGGAACTGCCCTGCCCTGCCCTGTTAGGAAAACTCAAGTTTCCAAATCAGACAGCAGGGGGCATAGGTGCTTTCAGACAGAAGGAAATTGCCTCAGTCTTAAGATTTATCGGTGAAAAATACAGAGGGTAGCTAAAATTGATGCAGTGGGTGCTCCAGGGAGCTGCCTTATTTATATTGTGCTGCCCTATAGCTGAGTTTATTGTGTTCTTAGGGCAGATAGCATGATGCTGTCCCCTGGGATATATAGGATTTGGAAGCAGACACCAGCCTCCATCATTTCCCCCTCTAGCTCAGCCTCCTCTTCCCCAGCCTCTGCCTTCCACCAGTTAGTAAACAGTGCCAAGTGAATATAATTGTTTTCTCACTCTTCTCTGGGGGCTCACTGGCAGCTACTGCTTTCTTCATTTTTAAAAATTTATTTGCAACTTCATGAAAGCCACTGAGTTATTCTTTTTTGAGCCTCAAGCAAATTGGAACTTTTAGGGTATAGAGTGAATGAGATCATCCAGACCTCGTAGCCTTCTTGTGAAGCCAACAGTAAACATGGCCACTCACTCACCCAATCCTAGGGCTGTGTCCAGGAATGAAGCCACCACTGACTAATGCATAGGAAATGTTAGAGGGGCCTGGTCTTGTACTCAGTTTGTCCAGTGTCTCCTCCACCCTTGGGGCCCTTTGGCCTAAGCTCAGGATGGGAGGGTCTGCCTTTCTAGCAGCTGCTTCAGCCCTAATCGAGCTCAAGGTGAGTAGTGGATTTTAAACCCTGCTCCCACATACCACTTAGCCTGTGTTTTCCTTTTCTCCTGACCAGGTCAACTGTCTTGAGCCCCACCCTCATCTGCCAGTGTTGGCAACCAGTGGCCTAGACCATGATGTGAAGATCTGGGCACCCACAGCTGAAGCTTCTACTGAGCTGACCGGGTTAAAGGATGTAAGTGGCTGACTGCAGAACTTTTCTTTCTACTTATTCACATGCTGTTAGGATTCTTCATTGCCATAGGAAGGAATGACTTGCTGCCCAGTTCTTTAAGGACATTACTCTTATGCCCTCCCCAAACATTCCTGTTCTTCTCTCTGGAGGAGCAGTCCTGTTCCAGGGGACAGCTATGAGTGCCTCTTGTTGGTAGTAGGATGGGGTAGGGAGCATTCTTTAGGAACTATTATTCTGTATTAAAGCCTCCCACCTTCTCAGTGTCTGAACCCAGGATAGCCTTTCCTAATTGAATCTGGCTCCACTTCAGTGTAACAGCACCCAAGGAAACTTTTATTGGGATGGAACACCAACCTTCTTGATTAGGTCCAGGGTCCCTATTCATTTACTGTCCCCAACCCCAACCCTTTTGGGTTTCAGGTGATTAAGAAGAACAAGCGAGAGCGGGATGAAGATAGCTTACACCACACTGACCTGTTTGATAGCCACATGCTCTGGTTTCTTATGCATCACCTGAGACAGAGACGCCATCACAGGGTAAGCTGGGGTTCGATGTGAGCTCCCAAGGGCAGTGACCCTCTTAAGAGGGCTACAAAGTTCCAGTGCACACCTCCTCACTAAATTAAGGAGGAGTCAAGTGATCTTGGTTGGGTTTCCCATCCATTGGTCCCCTGTTCCCTTCAGAGCCCCCAGAGGAAAGGTTGGTGTCTGCTCTTATCTTCTGTCACCATACATGCAGAGTGCTATCTTCATAAGGGCAATGGTAAGAGGGTGGGAAGGGAGTGGAGAAGAAATGTCTTAGGGTACTTTTTTGTATTTACTGTCATGCTTGACGAGGCAGGGGTCAGCAAACTGGCAGTTGGCCTACTGCCAGTTTTTGTAAATAAAACTTTATTGGAAACACAGCCACATCCATTCTTCATATTGTCTATGACTGCTTTCATGGTACAGTGGCAGAGTTGAATAGCTTCGACAGAGACCATGTGGCCCACAAGTCTGAAATATCTACTCTTTGGCCCTTTAAGAAAACACTGCTGATCCCTGGCCTAGCTAAGACCTTACAGTCTTGTTCTTGATCAGGAAAAATACTAACAAGGCTTTCCCATTCCACAGCGCTGGCGAGAACCTGGGGTTGGGGCCACAGACGCGGACTCTGACGAGTCTCCCAGCTCCTCAGATACATCGGACGAGGAGGAGGGCCCCGACCGGGTGCAATGCATGCCATCCTGAGGCCTCATGCCTAAGAGGGGCGGGCTGGGGCTGCCAACCCGATCCTGCCTGGGCACTGCTTTCCTGACCCAGGCCCTTAAATTCAGCAGAAACGCACTTTGGACTTTTTGTTTAGAAGATATCCCAAGAGAAGGACAGACCAGACGGGGATTGAACCAGCAGACAGCACCTAGGAGTGGGAGTTGAGCCCTGGAATGGGTTCTGTGGGGAGGCACAAAGGACTCAGCAGAAATGGCCTCTCCCTGAAGCTTTTTTTTGGGGGTGGTGGGGAGCCTGTTTTGTTAACTGGTTTAGGATAGGCAATGGGGCTTCTTTTAATCTCCCTTGTTTCCTTTGTGGGGGTGGGGTGAGGGCAACAACTGGCTGTTCAGTACCAAGGGGCCAGAGTGGAGGGTAGGAGTGCCACTCGCTCTTTGGTTTAGGTTTTTGACCTTTTTTTCCCTTTGTTTTTTAAAGTCTATGACAGTTTCATTGTTTTCCCCCTGAGCAAATCTATCCCAGGATCCTGTTTTTCTGGGAAGTCCTTAGAGCCCTTAACCATCCCACACTTCTCACTTTCCACCTCATTCATTCTCTGTACTCATCACAGTGTTTTGCACTTGATTATGTATCCTTCACTCTCTCCTCTTCATCCCATCACCCCCTAAATAGGTCTGGTGAAGGAGATTGGAGAGAGGTGGGAGGAGGGGCAGAGATGGAAGAAGAATAGGAAGGATATTACCTCTTCTGTTATTTTTTTTTTTTTTTTTAAGAATTGTTTGGTGGCAGCAATCTCCCTGTCCCTATCACTATTAGAGGCCTAATTTTATATCTATAAATATATTAAAAAGCAAGTCAAACTTGGATGTATCAAGTTAAAATTATTGTCAAAGTTTAAATACCTATATATTCTCTATGAATGCAATAAAGGGACTTAAAGGAAGAATGAGCAAGAGTAATGATGTCAAAATGACACCCATGGTTAACGTGCCCTTTATATATGGCCATTAAAGCCTGGGGCTTACTCTTAGGTTTTTAGGAGGCTCAATAATGGAAGGATCCTCAGTTCTGCCCTTTTCTGCCTGGATATAGGGGTTGGAAAAACATTTTCTCTAAACTCTGCCTCAGATCCCCTAACTCTCCTTAAGTCTCATGGGAGCTCCCAGGATGGGTGTTCAAATCAGAGGCCGGCCTATTTTTAAAACATAACAGACCTGTGACATTAGAAAGGGCGCTGCCACCCACTGCCTACTCTCTCCCGATCTTGTGTATGACAGAAGATACACACATTCTCTTAGCTATGATTCTTTAAGCAGTCCGGCTCCATATCAGCCCTTCCTAATGAAAATAGTAAAGGGCAAATTTCTTGGGTTTGATTTTATGTAAATTTTGTCCACCTCTTGGTATCTTGGGATTGAGGGACAAGAAAGACAGTGATCTAACCAGGCACAGTGGTGCATACCTATATAATCCCAGTGATTCAGGAGACTGAGGCAGGAGGATTTTAAATTCAAAGCCAGCCTCAGTAATTTATCGAGACACTGTCTCAAAAGGAAAAAATATATATATAGATTTGGGATGTAGCTCAGTACTAAAGCACTCCAGGTTCAATTCAAAGTACCCAGAAAAAGAAAGAAAACAGGATTCTGGTGGCTAGGGTTTGGACACCTCTCTTATCACTTGTCACTGAGTATGAAAATCCTATTTGAATTCTTGCCCTTAACTGCTTTTGCTGCTATTTCTCTGCCCCCAATTTCCACAAGATCCAGTTAGGAATTCTGCATCCTGGAACAGTTGGATTCTACTAAACCAGGCCGTGAAGAAGAGGGGGAAAAAGTGAGAGGATGGTAGTGCCAGACATTCCTTCCTCCTGCCCCTTTTCCTAGCAGCTCTCAGACTCGATGTTAGCTATTGCTCTTTCTTCCTGAGGTAGGGAATGTGTAGTGACTCGAGTGGTTTGTCTCCCTATTGCTAGTGGAGTGATACGGTGGGACTTAAAACCATGCACTCTGGAATTTGTTGTATTTTCTCAGTAAAGCTTTCCCCCACACTCTGCTGCTGTGTGTGATATGTGGCCCATTCATTCATTATAGACTGCTTTTGTTCCTTCCATTGTAGGTGCTTAGTCTTGCCCACTTCCTCTGTTCATGTTAAGATTTTAGGAAGTCCAGTCTGGAATATACCTAGTTCTCTTGCTCAGGCTCCAGTTGGAGACGGTTTAAATGAAATAGGCCCCATTTAGCTCAGTGGTCCTTTGCAGATAGGGATGAGGAGGGGAGGATCCTATTTGGGGTGTTTTCTGGGTCCCTATACCAGGCTACAATAAAGAATGTAGGGGTAAATATTGCTCCCCCTCCCTTCCCAGTCATACAGAGGCTCCAAAATCCTGGTCACTCAGAAATTCTGGAATCCAGTACAGTACAATCAGTCACCTTTATTCCAGGGTTAGAACAAGGCCGTGCACACTGCAGATGGAGGAGCACAAGATAGGGGCAGCCTTACAGCAGGACAAAGGGTGGGAGGGCAAGTTAGTCTTTTTAGATTATTTTGCCTTACAGAGAAACTACTGGACTCTGCCGAAATAACCCCGTCTTTTCTTTTCCTGTTTATTCCATAAGGAAAGCTCTTTATTCTCATTTTCTCCCTCCCTCTCACTCACATAACATTCCAAATAAAAGGACCGTTCATGCTCATTTCCCTAATTCCAGTTCTACAAGTATCTCTCCCTAAGGGAGAAGCCAGACAGGGCTGGGGAGAGTTGGGAAGGTCCTTTAAGGCAAAACCGTGGAGTACTCGAGATGTATATGTTAAGGCAGGTGTCTGCAACAGTAGCCAGAGGGGACACACAGACTGGGCTCAGCTAGGAGTCGAGGGTGCACTCTGACCAGTCTGACTTCTTCCCTCTTCCAACAGCCAGCCCGCTGCTCCCACTGAAGTTTTGCTCCCACATCCTAAAAGCTGCTAACTTCCAACTTTCTCTAAATAGTCTCAGTTTGCATGTGAATCTATTTTTTTTTTTTTTGGTTTGCTTTTTTTTTTTTTTTTTTTTTAATATAAAAAGCTTTTCTGTTTGGAATATGTAGCAATTTGCCTCTGCCACTCCTGTCATTGTGGCACTCCCTTGCCACCCCCACTCTGGCCTAGACAATAAGTTAATGCTAGACACCACAAAAAAGGGCAGACATGGCAGTGCGGGTTTAATATACATATATGTAGAATATATATGTACACACAGTTAGCACGGTCAGGGTGGGAAGGGCATGTTGGGACAGGCAAGAGGCTGGGGTCACTCACTGTACTCTAGTTATTTGGCTAGGAGGCGTCCACAAGCCCAAGGGGGCCGGGGTGTCAGTGAGAAGGGTTACCAAGTCCCCTCCGAAGACTGAATTGGCATGGGGATCAGTGCAAAGGAAAACACTTCTTTCTGGCTTGGGGTGTTGTAGACTGAGTAGAGAGAGGGTAGTTGCCTGCAATATCCACATTGGGACCCTGTAGCGGGGGCAGGTTGAAATTAAAACCTAAGGATCTCATTTCTCAACGTAAGTTTGGGGTCAGTGTGTGCAACAGTCTGAATAGGAATAAAGGAGTGACAAAGGGGCCCATCCCTCTATGTCCCCATTTCAGGCTCAGTGGTGCATGTTCCCAGCCTAGTCTTTCCAGAGCAAAAAGGTGGGGGGTGGGGGTGGACACTGAATGCTGGCTGCTCCATAGGATTTGCTCTTAGGGACCAGGAAAGGATACAGTGGTCTTCTTCCATTAGATCCCTGGCTTATACCCATCGTAGGCCCATGAGAGGAGCATAAAAAAGGGACCTGCTGGTACCTAGGCTCTCCAGCCTGAGGAACAGCAGGAAATGGAACTTTTTAGCTAGTCCAGCATCAGGATACAAACACTGAACTCTAGCTTTTCTTTGCCCCTTTCAGGTGGAGACTGGCCTCTTCGTCCTCCCTCCTTTCCTTCCCTGCTTTTCCTTAGATCTACCCACCATTCCCATACCTCACCATCTCAGCTCCTCAATGTAGGAAAATGCAGGTCCTTTCTGCTTCCACATTTTTAAGATGTGGCCAGGAAAAGTGGAAGAAAGGGAAGTAGGAATGTGCCAATTTCTATTTGCATAGAAACAGCCCCCACCTCCCCCTTAGAGTGGGGAAACTAAGCCCCCCATCCTGACCCCCACCCCCTCACAAGGAGGAGGAACTAGATGAGCTAGACATATAGACAGACAGCCAGAGCGTGCGCACACGCACACACACGCGCACAGTAAGGGAGTTAGGACCAGGTTAGTAAGTGGGTGCATGGGAGTGCTGCCCTTGCCCCCTCCCTTGGAGGCTGGGGAAGGGAGTGATCTGATGAAGGTCCAACCTTCCTCTTCTTCCTCCCCCTTGCTCAGGCCTTCTTCGGTGGGGGAGCCAGTTTGATGATCTCTTCCTCAGAGGGCTGCCGAATAATGTCTAGGGGCAAAAAGGGATGTGTCCAGGGATGAAAGCTGTGGGAGGTGTCAGATAAACCCACTGAATACCAACATGCATGCTCCCCAAATGCACTTATTCCAGGGATAACGGAAGGGGTATGCCAAAGACATGAACTCTTACCTTTGTACTTCTTGGCGCTGGGAATGCGGGTTAGCTTGGTGTCCAGCTCATCCTCCTCAGAGATCTTCAGCACACGAGTTCTGTAGTCAACCACCATAGTGAGTAGGTCTGGACGGCGGGAGATCTCAAAAATGTGTTCAATATAGGAGAGGTTGTCTGGAGGAAGGCAGGAGACTAGGTCAGAGCTGGACAGTAGCAGTCCCCTTGCCTCTCTGACAGTGTTCTGGAACTACTACAACATTGGCTCTCAGAGGGCCACACTGGAAGAAGGGCTGGCTACTAAGCCAGGAAAAGAAAGCTAAAGCACCCACACAATGGTACAAGACTGTTTCCGGGAAGGGCAGGGAGTTGGTCAGTGAAGTTTCTAGGTTGTAGAATTAGCATGAGGGCTTTGAGCCAGGCATGGTGGCACATGTAATCCCAGTAACGCAGGAAGCTGAGGCAGATGAGATGGTAAATTTGAGACCACTCTGCGCAACTTAGATCCTATATCAACACAAGAAAGAAAAAGGGCTGGGGATGTAGCTCAGTGGTAGAGCGCCTTTGGATTCAAAACCCAGTACCACCACCAAAAAAAGAGAGGGCTTTGGATTCGATAGCAAGTCCCTGACAGGGTTAGGGAAAGGACAATAGAAAAACTGTCTTCCAAATACCCCACCCTCCCTAACCTTTTTCCACTTTCATCCAACCATCAGGAAGAATTTCCCAATAGCACACAGGGGTAGGAATGGTGAGATCCAAGAGTAGTTCTGGGCCTAGTAAGAAAAGTCATTCTAAATGAAAGATGTGGATATAACCAAAAGAATGATCACCCTGGTTTTCAGCCAGCTCCAAGATATTACTGATGACCTCAGACCTCTGGCTCCTAACCTTAGTATGTCCTTCAGCTCCCCTCCCTGCTCCCACATTTAATTCAGTCCGAATAATATTTCTGAAGAGGTCTGAGATCACTCACCTCACTTTTCTCTCAAATGTCTATCACTCAAGGCTCTCCACAACAGAGTTTTGACTTACCTTCATTCCTTCACAGCTACTTCTAAATATATAGAATGTCCCAGTCAAACTAAGCAGGACTTTGCTTTTCCACACACACCAGAAACTCCCACCTCTGTGTCTGTCACTCTGCCTACCAGGCCCTCTGGATTCCCACTTTCCTTTCAAGGCCATCTTAAACTCCCAAGTCCTCCTGAAAGCCCCCAGCTGCACGGGATCACTCCAATCTATAATCCCCAGTCCCTCTAGAGCAGGAGTCTCTAAAAGCAGATAAAAGAAAGTTAGAACTTGTTTTATTTTAAATGCTGCCACTTTTAAATTGCTTTTATGTTCTCTATATATGTAATAATAGCACAGGAGTATCTGAATAATGCTTTTACTGCCAAGGGGCACAATGAAAACTGTCCAAGGCCTCCTGCCCCTTCCGTTCTCTCGCCTGCCTTGTTGAGAGGTACACGCATGTGTGGGAGCTCTGTGCTCATCTCTCTACCAAGTGGACTGAGCCCCATCCCGCACCTTTGTCCAGCTTGTTGTGGCTCTCCAGGAAGCTAAACCAGGCACTGCCTGTGGTGATCTCCTCGCTCTTCTCACTGGGGATGTCCTCCTTGCAGGCTGACTTCAGCTGTTCCAGATCTTCAAGGGTGATGTTGTTAGTCAGGTCCTGGAGGAGGGTCCCGTATTCGGCCATGACTGGGGTGGGGAGGCAACAAAGGGAAAGGATTCTGGACTTGGTGTACTGAGTCTGATTCACATACTGGCACTATCCACACCCCCTCACTGCCCTGCCAGGCATGTGTCTAGAACACGGGTGGGCAGAGCCAGAGGAAGAAAATGAAGACCTAGGAGAAGCATTGGGGACAGACAGGAAAACACTTAAGACAGGAGCAGTGCTGGAGCCTAGAGTGATAAGTCATACTTCCCCCCTCCACTGTCTTTTTCTTCTTTTCCCCCCCTCTAACAGTAACCCTGGCAACAGCTCCCCTGACTGAGGAGGCGGTTACCATGGCAACCTGCTCCCGACTTTCTCACCCGCTGTTTCAGAGTCCCCCCCCAGAAATGCCCCACCCACTTCCAACCCCTCCCCCTGTCAAGGAAAAAAAAAACAACCTCAAAACAACATCAGGGAGAGGCTTGCTGTGGAAGAAGAAACTGTAAAAGAACTGGGGGGCGGGGGGTTGGTTGAAATGTTAGCTTCCATTCTTCCCCAGAAGCAAAAGGGTCCTCACTTCAACTGCCCACCACCCCACTAATGACTCACTTTGGAAGGATGCCTAGTTGCTTGGTCTGATGGTTCCCTGGCCCCTCCATGCATAGCCTCATATTAAGCCATCAGGGCCTGGGGTAAGGGGAAGCAATGGGCTATCCCCACTTTGCCCATTTTCTCCCTTCATCATCACAGGGGCCCCCACTCAGCCTTGTCTCCCAGCCTTTGTGCTGTGCTTGCAGCCCCCGCGCCCAAGAATACCAAGCGGCTGGCTCTGGCCCCCTGCCCAGTTCCCAGGCTTGCTGGGTGGTGGGGGGAAGGGCACCAAGATGCAGCTTCGGGAGAGTCTGGCAGGAAGGGGGCTGCCACCCCTTCCTGCATCAACATCCTGCTGGCACTGCCTTTAGAGTGGCCTCCCGCAGGGTGCTGGGCAAGACCACATATCATCTAGGCCTTCATTCATGATCCTTAGGTAAGAAGGTGAAGAACATTCAAGGCCTCCCTCCCCTAAAATAGGAACTGTAGCTAAGACAGGAAGAAAGAAGGATGAACCTTAGAATGAACTTGCTGGATTTGATAAAATGTGAAACACTAGTAGTAAGCTCAAAACAGGCACTTATTTCCTACAATGAGTATATCTCTTAAAATCAGAAGGGTAAAGCAAAAAAAAAAAGGAAAAGAAATCATAGCTTGGTGCAGTGGCCCACACCCATAATCCCAGCAACTCAAGAGGCTGAGGCAGGAATATTGCAAGTTTGAGGCTAGTCTGGGCAACTTAGGGAAAGCCTGTATCAAAAAGGACTGGGAATGTGGCTCAGTGGTAGAACATCCCTGGGTTCAATCCACAGTATCAAAGAAAAAGAAAAAAAAAAAAGCATGTCATAACCCTCTGTGGCTAGAACAAAGGGTAGCAAAAAGCTAGATGACCTTGTCCCTGACCGAGGATGCCATGAAGCACCCCAACATTGGACTGGGAATTTGGCAGTTCAAAGGGTTCAGGCTGACTGATACACTCCTATTTTCCTTACTTCTAGGATCTATTGTAGGGGAACTGAGGCAGAGAGGCATGGCCATCACACAATAAGAGGTGTGGACCTAGAAGTCCCCACACCCAGCCCCCTTCTTGGACCAGAATAACAAGCCTCCCTTGGTGGCAGGCACCGTGACACAAACAGACAATGAGCCAGACAGCAGGGCCAGCACGACCCCCACAAGAAACAGTCACTCATAGACACTCTCACTTGCACACCCAGGTGCAACCAGACAGAAGGGCCCAGCGGTGGCCCTGCCAGGCTGGACCAGGAACAATGCTCTCCGACTGTCAGCACCAGGAACCATCCCAGCCTTGAAATCTAGGTCACAGCAGCAGGCTCTGGAGCCCAGCCCCGCCTCCACTGATAATCCCAGGGCAGAAAAGGGTGGAGATGGGAGGGTTATGGTGGGGAGGGGGTCTGGAGATAAGGATAGGGACTGGGGGATGGGGCATGCTGGTTGGGAAAGCGCAGCATGAGAAAGAGACAAGAACCTGCCCCAGTGGATGAGACCCTGCCACCAAACCCTCAGCTTCAGCTAGGAAAGGGGGCAGTATTAGGGTCAAAACAGGCTTGGTTTCACATGGAAAAAGAGTTTGTAAATATGGTAGATCCTGTGGGAGGAATGAGTGCGAGCGAGCGTGCGTGCGTGTGTGTGTGTGTGTGTGTGTGTGTGTGAGAGAGAGAGAGAGAGAGAGAATATCTCGGGAAGAATTGAGATTTAGGGCTCAATCTAAAACACAGATCTATAAGGAGGTGGGTGAAACGGGATTAGTGTGTGTGACACACCCACCCACAAGGCTGGGGGCAGTGGGTAGGAGCTTTCGAAGAGTGAAACAGATACAAGGCCCCTAAGAGGAATGGGGGTGGGAATGTAAAGTGGCTAAGGGGGTGACGTGTATGTGCCAGATTCTATGTATGTGTGGATGCTGATCTCTGGGTGTGTGTACAGGTGTGTGGAGGAGGCAGTGGGTGTGTTTGGATGTTCTCGTAACTGGCTGTGAGTGTGTGTGGGATGTGTGTTTGTATGTGTCTGAACCAGCTGAGTGTGTGTAAGAAAGTACATAACCACAGGCTCCCATCCAGAGGGTGAGGGGAGCCTACAGAACGGAGGAAGAGAGCAGGAGACGGGAAAGGGAGAGACTGAGGCTGCAAATGAGGAATCCTAGGGGAAAGTGGGGGGATGGAGCTCAGAGTCCACAAGGCTGCAGCCTCAGCTCAGCTGTTAGCACAGCAACCTCGGTTCTGGGAGATGCCCCTGCCCCCCTAATCATCAGGACAATGATACCACGGGATGGAAGGAGAGTGAAGAGTGGGCAGTAAGGGACAACAGGATAGGAATAGGGCCCCCTAAGGGAGTAAGGAAAGGCCATGGTTACCTGCCTTTCTAGATCCCATTTGCCCGTGCCCAGGTGTGGCAGCAGAGGCAAGGGCAGAATAGATTGGGGGGAGGTATTTGGGGGTGGTGGGAAGATGGAATCTCCCTTATATGGGTCTCAAGACTCACTGATCAACTATTGTCCCTGGCGGGTCTGGCGGTGGTGGGACTTGGCAGAGCCTGGCTCCTTCATCCTCCATGACTCTTTCCTCGTCAGAGATTTAGAACTACTTAGGGCCCACGGAGAAGTTTTCTGTCCTCCTTGCTCTGAAAAATCCTTCTGATCTCTGGGGCAGTGTAGAGGGCTGCCCAGGGAACACCAGGCAGCCTGGGCGGAGGCCATTCTGAGGACAGGATACCAGCGCAGGAACTGGGAACCGGAGCTGAGGCTGCCAGGAAGTCGGTCCCCTTCCCTCCCAGCTCATTCTGTGTGCAGCTCACCGCTTCCTCATACCTTCCTTCCTTCCTCCCTCTCCTAAACTAGCTCCAGGTGGAGCCCTGACAAAGGTAGAACCAACTGACAAAGATGATGCTGAGAAACAGAAAGAGGCAGGAGGTAAGCATTGTTATATACTGACCTTTTAGGGCAGGAGTTGGGATGGTGGCAGGTGGTGCTCCTTCAGTAGGCACTGGGGGAGGAGGAGGCAGGCCCTGGGTCTGCTTTGAAAAGCCTGGCAAAATGGGACAACCATCTATGAAGGAAGTGGCAGCACCAAAAGAATTTTTGTGCATTTTGCTATTAATTAATGGTAGAGTATCCCCTCTCCCTAGAATTTGGTTCCAGTAATTTTTTTTTTTTTTTTTTTTTTAGTACCAGAGATTGAACCCACGGCACTTAACCCCTGATCGACAACCCCAGTTCTTTTTTTCTTTTTCTTTTTTTTTTTTGAGACAGGTTCATCCTAAATTGCTTAGGGCCTCTCTAAGTTGCAGTTCTCTGGAGTCTCTGGGATTACAGGCATGACCACCAAGCCTGGCTCGCCTAGCTCAGTAAATTTTTAAGAATCTCAAGAGAAACCAAGGATTAGGAGCTAGGAGTGCCCTCCCTCTTCCACATCTGCTGCAGCTGCCTCAGGCTGGGGGGAGGGGTCATCCTGCACAGCTGCAAGAACCTATAATGGGAAGGAGGGGACTCCTAGGCAATCAAGTCTGTAGGTCTTGTTACCTGAAGTTGGAGGAAGTAATGGAGAAGAGGTAGCGGGTAGGAAGGGAGAGAGTGTGGTTCTAGCTGTCCTATTTTAAATTATATCTGGGAACCAAATTCAAGCAGTCCTAAGTTTATTTCCTTTAATATCATACTTGGCTTCCTCCCCAAATTTCTATCCGGTTTTCTTTAGGGGGAAGGGGTGGGAGGATCATCTTCAGTCATGTATCAAAGGAAAAAGAGGATTCTGAGGTTTCAGGGTCACTCAGGGAGTAAGGGGAGGCAGGACACCTGGACCCCAAAATGTTCAGGCCAAGAAGAAAAACCTCTGGGTATGGGGACAGAGACAAAGCCTTCAGCCCTTAGTCTAATACAAGAACCAGACCCAAGATCTGACTGGGGCACTGCCTGCTCCTATTTCTGTCTCTCTCCCATCTCTATTTCCTCTCTCCCTAGTCTTTTGATGTCTTTTCCTCCTTCCCTTTCAATGGACATTCATCCCTTCTAGCTTTGCCTATTCACCCATCCCATCTAGTAGTAGCCATGAACTTCAAGGGCCAGTGACTGAATACTGAATACTCACAGCAACTATTTAGGAAGAGGTGAGGTCCAGGGTTCCATAACTCAGTGTCCCCATCTGAATACTCAGAGCAACTATTGAGGAAGGGGTGAGCCTCCCTGATACAGTATTTGAGGGGAGAGACCTGAAGATGCAGTGGTTGCCTGCCCACTGTCTGGAGGGTCTGTCCTTCTTGACATTGTAGGTGAGGATCTGTGTGACAGTGACCCACTGTATGACTCTGTAACCCTCTTCATGCATGACAACATATGTGCACATGATGGGCACAGGTGTCACAGAAATGAAGAGGAAGTAGGCACCTAGAAAAGCTGGCAGCCTAGGGCATCCTTGGCAATTTCCCCAACGGAGTGTTTAACCGCAAAGGGAAGAGCAATTAATGCTAATCGCTCTGACAGCCTGGGGGCCACACACACAACCCAAGAAACAAGATACACAAATTCAGCCTGTGCTTCCTAATTCCCTGCTTTCATCCTCCCTAATTTCTTCTGGCCTTTTTTTTTTTTTTTTAATGTACTGGGGCTAGAACCCAAAGGCACTCTTCCACTGAGCTACATCTCCAGTTTTTTGTTTTGTTTTTTTCTCTTTTGAGACAGGCTCTTGCTAAGTTGCCCAGGATGGCTTCCAACTTGTGGTCTTCCTGCCTCAGCCTCCCCAGTTGCTGTGATTACAGATGTGTGCCACCATGCCCAATTCATGCTTCCTAATTTCTTTTTAGTCCACTCTCCAGCACTCTTTTGCATCCTCTGACCATTTCTCTCTCACTTTCTCCCTTCCCATGATTCCCTGACTATATCTCTGACCCTCTCTGGCTCTGTCCCTTTCTCCACGTCTGTCTCCTTCTCACACACATTCCTCTCATTCTGTCTCCCTCTGACTTGCGCTCCATCCTTGGCTGACTCATACTCATTCTTTTTCTTCCTCTCCCTTTCTTCCACTCCCTCCTCCATTCCTTGGCCATTCTGATGTCCAGAAACTAGCCACTCCCAGTGCCCTAAGCTCTAACTGGACCCAGCTAGACAGGCCACCAGAACCCATATTACCGGGCTAAGAGCACTGACTCATTAGTCTTCAATGTCCTGTCTCCTTGTTCTAAAGGAGACCAGGATTTTAAAGCTGCCCAGAAAACCAGGATGGTCTTGGGGACAGTGGCCCCTTCTGTCCATTCCTCTGCTGTCCTGTTAAACTGATGTCTTGGAGCCCCATAGTCCAGGAGACTCCACATGGGAGGCAGTGGGTTGTGGTGGGTGGTTGGATGTGTAGCACAGGGAAGGTTGTGATTTGGTGTGTGCGAGCCAGTATGTGTAAGAGTCACATGGGTGTGTGTCACTGTGAGTGCTGGTTGTTTCTCAGAGGTGTGCTTGTGTCCCTGTCAGTTTTGACACCAATTATATGGAATTAATTAGGGGTTTAGTTAGATACACCATTCCCCTACATCCCCAGCTCCTTCCTCCTTAAGCCCGGCCCCACCTCTCTCCCAGGTGCAAGTGGGCTGGGGTGAGGGCACATGGTGGCAGGCTGAGCTGGAGACGGCCAGCGGAGGGCCAGCGGAGGAGAGTCGGGAGCCAGAGCGGGGAGGGCGGGAGCGGCCGGCCGAGCCGGCTGGGCGGGAAGCAGGCTGCATCCTAATCCCAGGCCCCGGCCGGACTCCCAAACTGCCGATCGGCGTGGAAGGGGCGGCCGCAACCACGCCGCCTCCGGCCCGAGCGCGGTGCTCCGGACGCACGCAGAGACCGGGCCTGACACCGAAAGGGCCAGTCGGGGTCCCGGCGCTCCCCTATGTGTCCCCCGGCATCCCGGGTTGTCCTTCCTCCAAATCCAGACCCCAAATCTGTCCCCTTCCCGCGACATGCCCCCTCTGCCCCTCTCACCGCCTCCGGAGCTGAGAGCTCAGGGCGCGGGCACTCCCAGGTCCCCGGTTCCCGAGCAGCGTCCGGAGCCTCCTCCTCGGCTCCCGCCGCCGCCGCCGCTTCTGCCGCCGCCGCCGCCTCTTCCGCCCGCGGAGCCCGAGCCCGAGCCCAGCGCCGCCTCACCCCACCCGGCTGGCCGGTGATGTCAGAGCCGGGGAGGGACGCGGGGCGGGGAGCGGCAGGGGGGGAGGGGACGCGGGGCCGAGGGGCTGGGGTTCTGGAAGGCTCCGAGGAAGAGGGACAGAATTGGGCGGAGGGATGCCGCCCTCCCCCCTCAACTGTGAAACAATGTCCAGATTTAATTCTTTCCCAATGGGACACCTTCTTCCTCTTCTGATTTCTGGGTGACCACGACTGGGACCCCTGAGACGACTTAGTAAATCAGGGTTTAGGGATTTGACCAGTGCCTTCTCTTAAGCTATTTGCTTTGGTGTTTGGAAAAACCGCTCTCCTAGCTTTATGGATCAGGGGACTGGTAGTAAATGACCCCACTTATTCACCCTGGAAGTGGAGGCAGAGGGTCCCCGGCAAGAAGCAACATGACCTCCTTTACTTGACCTGAAACCATGGATTGTCTCTTTAGGGTGAAGCCAGACGGCCCTCTTGTGTCACTTTCACCTTTCTCAAATACACCCCACTCTTCCTCCTCCCCTACCATGATGTAATTTTATTTTCGGGGGAGAAAAAGAGCAGCAGTGACCTCACCATGCAAATATAGACAGTTCCCGAAGCCACACTTAGCTCTGTCTCCTAGCTCTGCCCCTCTGCTGGGGGCCCAGAATGGTAGCTCTCACTTCCCCTCCACCTCAGGGACTTTCCTCCCCCAGATTCTCAGCCAGACTGAAAAGAAGGAAGGGAGAATTGGGGAAGCATCTGTTTCTCCCCATCCCCAGCAGAAGGGTCACCTCAACTCTGGCAGGGTCTGGCCCTGGGAAGAGGGGTGAGAACTCTGTTTGTACCACCTCATGGAACACTTATCTTGCCTCGATTCCAACTTGAGGGAATCTGTTACACTTCCAGAAGCCTCAGATGAGCCCCTACTTTCTTAGGTCTACATTGCTCCTCAGCTCAGGTTCCTGCCACTTTGGGCTTTACAGCCTTTTTCTTTGCTCTCTTATCCTCAGCATTGCCCCTTTGAGAGTAACTCATCCTCATAATTTGCCTTTGTATATGTATCTCATTTGCTCCTTGTTGCAGGGCCAAAACCTATTTTCTTAATCCATCTTTGAGATTCAAGGAAACTGCACGATTTACCCACAGACATGCAGTATCTGGGTGAAATAAGACAGGCACCAAGGCACAAGGACTTGGGTTTCAAGCTTGCTCAACTCTTTCCTAAGACAAAGTATGCCCCTAAGCCTCAGTATCCTTACCAGTAAGAAGGGGATGCCAGTAACTGATTTATAGGGTCCTTCTGAGATTCAGAAATAGCAAGTCTCTAGAGACTGGCTATTTAAGATGGGTGCTTAAAGAAATAGGAACTATTATTTAGTCTGGGGTCTTCCACTGATCTATGCTAGACAGTAAGCTTAATAACATTTTTCTAATACAAAACTAGTGCCTGTACTGCTTATTAAACATTTGTTAAATGGTATTAGTTGGATGGATAAATGGGTTCTATTCTCTAAACTCTGCTGCTTCTCTAGGAACACTTTCTAGATTTGTCTGTGGAGAGTGAAAACTGGAAAATTAACCCCAGGTCCCAGGTTTTACTTAGCAGTCCTCGGTATACCAGCAATAACTTTACACTTGTTCCATGTAAACTATAATTTGTTATATATGGATAGTTCAGCAGTTTGGTCCTCCCTGCCCCCAATTGCTTTGTGCCCATCCAGCCTGGACCTATCCTGGAGAGTCTGTGGGTCCTTCCTGCAAAGAACTCTTGAAAGGTCCAGGTCTAGGGTATCCCCATTGTACAAAAGTCAATGTCTCTTCTCCATTCCCATGACCACCATGGGTTCTGGGTTCTCTCAACTTCCTTCTGATAATAACAGCCTCTAACTATGAGTTGGGCTCCTTGCCTCTAGAATCCTCGTCATCCCTGCCTCCCCATGTCCATCCCCCTCTCCATTTCTACCAGGTGAATTTTTGCCCTTTCTCCCCATCTCACAGGATTAAGTTAAAACATCTCTGCAATCAGCCCTTAATCTTACCAGCTTCAAGGCCTTGAATTTCTCCTCTTATCTCTGTGATCTCCATGCCCCCATATTACAAATACTTCCTGCCAGTGTTTTTTGTTTGTTTGTTTTGTTTTTGTACTGGGAGCTGAACCCAGGGGCACTTAACTACTAAGCTATATCCCCCAGTCCTTTTTATTGTTGAGACAGGAACTTGCTAAATTGCTGAGGCTAGCCTCAAGCTTGTGATCCTCCAGCTTCAGCCTCCCAAGTTGTAGGAATTATAGTGGCCTGCCAATGTTTGTGATGTTTCCACTGACTTAAATGTCCACTTTCCAACTCCCTTGCTTCCAACCAAGTCCCATTCTTCAATTTAATGCTTAGAAAAGGCTTGCTTCCTTTAGGAAGTCATCAAGTCCTGAGTCTTTTTCTTAATGTTTCTTCTTTTTTTGGCGGGGGAGGGGTAGTACCAGGTACTGAACTCTGGGGCCACTGAGCCACATCCCAGCCCTATTTTGTATTTTATTTGGGAACAGGGTCTCACTGAATTGCTTAGCCCCTCTCTTTTGCTTAGGCTGGCTTTGAACTTGTGATCCTCCTGCCTCAGCCTCCCCAGCCGCTGGGATTACAACATGCACCACCACACCTGGCTAATTTTTCTTCTTTTAACAAATGTTACGGAAAACTTTTTATGTACAGGCCTTGTGGAAATAAAGAAAAAGCCTGGGTTTGTCCTCATAGCGTTCATAGTTTAGTGGGGAATACAGAACTGTAGTGAAGAACTATAATACCACGTGTTGATTACTAGAATGGAGATATATAGGAAGTGCTTTGTGAGCCAGGCTCATTGACACAGGCCTGTAATCTCAGCAGTTTGGGAGGCTGAAGCAGGAGGATTGCAATTTCAAGGTCAGCCTCAGCAATTTAGAAAGATCCTGTCTCAAAAAAATAGAAAGGGCTGGGGATTAAGCTTGGATACAATCCCTAGTATAGCCCAAAAAAAAGTGCCACAGGAAAAGTGCAGATTAGGGGACTGCAGGAGGGGCAAGCTTAGGAAGGCCTTATTGAGGAAGAATAATCAGGGTTCAGCCTTGATGTTCAAATAAGAGCTGCAGGGAGGGCGCTATCAAGCAGCACATAATTGTTTAATTACATATTGCTTTGTGTTTTTTTTCCAATTGTTTAGTGTGCTTGTCTTACTTCTTGGGGAGGCTAATCAGCTCTAGAGTAGGGACAGGCCTGGCACTCTCTGTTCTCCCAGAGCCCAACAACAGCCCTGGACAAACACCATGTGTTCAGAAAAGGCTTGTTGATTTGAAGCTGATAAATAATCCAAGCTTCTCTGGGATAACTGCCTGGAGGGAGCCCCAACCCCTCCCATCATTCCTCACAAGGCATCCACACCTCAATCTCCCATCCTGCCGCAGGGGTGAGACTTCAACACTTGCTTGTGCTGCCCCAGATCTCTTTTATTAAGTCCTTGTATTTGACCTGAATACATTAACAGGAAACCGCTGAGATACAGCCCCAAACAGAGTACCCTCCCTTCCTCCTGGCCAGGGACAGGACAGTCAGAAGGATACAGGATAAGGGAGAGGGTTGGGGAAGATTGTGCATAGATGGGAGGAACGGGAGAGATAAGGCAAGGGGAGAACCCCAAGCAAGAAAATGGAGAGTATTGGAAGAAACAATAAAATTCGGATGCGTTGTAGGATAAGAAACAAGTCAGATGAGAGAGGTGGGCTGGTGTTCAATAGCTGCTTTCCTCATTGGTTGAGGGGGATAGAGCTTAGCACCCAATATTTAAAGCCCAGCTAACCCTATGGTAGGATGACCTAGTTAGTGTCCCTGGAGGAACTCGGGGAAGGACAGGGAAGACAGGAGGGTACATGAAGAGCAAGGTGGGGCTGGGAGATGGTTGCCATAGCAACTAGTCATCATCATCGTCATCATCGTCGTCGTCATCGTCATCCTCTGTGTTGATCTCACCCTCCAGCACGTCCTCTAGCCAGTCTTCCAGCTCCTCAGCGGAAGGCAGGTCCTCCTCATCGTCCATCTCCATCCATATGCTATCCGCCTAGGACATGGCACAGGTGGGGGATGGAAGCTAAGCTGGGCCCAGGTCTTTGAACTTGTCCTCCCACTCACCAGGCACTGAACATCCTTCTTACAGCCTCGGTCCCTTCCTTTCATCTTTCAGTGGCCAGGGGAACTGTCCAGGTGAACGTGTAGGTTAGAAGAGCCAAGAGGGGGAGTGGAAAAACAAGCTGGATTGGCAGAAGAACTGCCTGCAGTCCACCTCCCATGTTCTTGTTATACTGAGCTTCCAAAACCAGACCTCTCTATCCTGTCCTTGCCACAAAACCACTGCAGCTTTTCATGGCCAATGAAATCAACTAGCAACTCTTCAGCATTCAAGTTTTTTTTTTTTTTCCTCCAGTAATAGGAATTGAACTCAGGGGCACTTGACTACTGAGCTAGTCTCCAACCATTTTTCTTTTATTTTCTTTCTTTCTTTCTTTTTTTTTTTTGAGAAAGGGTCTTACTAAATTGCCCAGGCTGGACTTGAACTTGTGATCCTCCTGCCTCAGCCTTAAGTCACTGGGATTACAGGCACCTGCCACTGTGCTGAGATATTCAGAGTTTTTCCTGCTTTTTCAATACCGTCTTCAGTGATCACTAAATGCTAAAATCATAATAAAGTCTTGCCTGTTCCCAAACCTGGTATTCATTGTTCTACCTTTGACCTTTTGAGCTTACTTTTTCCTCATTTTATAGATGACTTCCCTTCACCATCACTTATTGAAATCCTTTACATCATGCACTCCCCCCCCCCACACCCTTTTTTTTTTTTTTTTTTTTTTTGGTACTGGGGATTAAACTCAGGGGCATTCGACCACTGATACATCCCCAGCCCTATTTTGTATTTTTTTTAGAGACAGGGTCTCACTGAGT